CAATCGAGTGTTGTCTGTTGGTGCAAAATCTTGTCGGCGAATTCTATTTAACCAAGCATTTCTTCGCTTAGATTCTTTCGGAATTCTGTAAAACTTGAGATTTGGGTTTCTTTTCCGATTATTTGAGCAGCTTGGATCACAGCAAAAGTCGTTTTTTCCTATGTAAATTACGAGGATATATAAGAGTTTTGTAAACAGATATGGCGTCCTTAGCTTTGTTGTCAGACTGGTTACCCCCAAGGCGCAAGGGATTATGGCGATGTGAAAGAAGAGAATGGAAAATCCTATCAAATCTTAATCCCTCTAAATCGGTTGGTTCAAACAGGATTCCTAGTTGGCTTTTACGAGTATACACCACATCAAACGTGCTGTACTTAAAGATATCGATACGAACTAGTATGGTGCCATACCAAAGTCGTCAACCACGCTTGCTCTATTGGACATGCTTCATGATTGGTCTAAGGGCACCGACGAGAACAGTGCTACATCTTGTTCGATTACCGTAAAGCTTTTGATTTCATTAACCATGGGATTCTTATGAGTAAATCATGCATATTAGACGTGCCAAATAATATAGTTAACTGGATAATTGACTTTTTGTCAAACAGATCTCAGCGACTCAAACTTGGTGAAGGATATGTATCTGAGTTGGAATCTGTCCCCTCAGGTGTCCCCCAGGGAACAAAATTAGGGCCTTGACTTTCTTTAATTATGATTAACGACCTCGTTGTCGAAAATGCATGTTTATGGAAATATGTAGATGATACCAATATCTCCGAAACAGTCGCGAAAGGGGAACTCTGCAACGCCCAATGTAATACAGATCGACTAGTACAATGGTCATCAGAAAACAAAGTCCAGCTGAACACTAATAAGTGTAAAGAAATGCGAATATTCTTTACAAAATCCCAGCAAGATTTTAAGCCCATTCTTATTAACGGCGATGCTTTATAAGTTGTAGAAAGTGAAAAGTTATTGGATCGTAATATTTCCAGTAATTTAACTAGGAATTTTCCTATTAATGTTGAAATTCTCAAGAAGGCCTCTGAGAGGCTATATTTTTTGGTGCAATTTACAAGAGCTAAGGTTAATCGCACTGATTTAGGGCCCTTTTACTCTAGTGGTATTAGATCAATTATGTACCATGCAATTCCGGCCTTTCACGTCAGTTTGCCTAAATATTTAATGCAAGAACTGGAACGTACACAGAAGAGAGCAATTTCCATTATCTGCCCCGGTGTTAGCTAACATGTGACTCTTGTTATTATGAACTCTAAGGAATTAGCAATCCACCATGAAGAAATATATGAGTTACTTTTTCACACAATTGAAAATGACAACAATCATCGCCTTTATAAGTTATTACCTGCACCACAGGAATCTACTAATTCATTAGGGCGCGCGCGACCTTTTTAAAACATGCCGCGTTTTAAAACCGACCGTTTTAAGAGTAGCTCTGCTATCTTTTCTTGCCTTAAAGCAAGTAACTTATAGGTTAGAGTTTTTGAATTTCATATTTCGAAAACCTTTTTAGCGTCTCATCTCCTGTTTGCTTTTTTATTCTTTTAATTAAGATAGATTAGTTAACGATTGTGATTTATAACTTAATATTTGGAGTCTTCATTTGCTTAAGGCGATGCTGAAAATGAAAGCAATCAGTTGCAAAAACTTGGAATGTATTTTCAAAAGCGGTCTTTTTTTACTTACACGAGAACAATTTGTTAATTTCCTCTGAGTAATGATTGAAAGTGGTAATGACCCCAATTATGGCATTTTGAGAGATTTGATAGGATAAAACCGACTGAATTAGCTTTTTTAAAAGTAAGAAAATTGCTCGACATACGCTCAGGATCTTTTACTCTAAAATCAATTTTTTTCCTTTATTTTCAACGAAAAGAGGATTCAGCTATAGGACATAAAACTCATGTTTTTGAGGTTGTGAGAGTCAGCTTGTTTACTTGCTATAGTGGCGTCTGTAAAATCTTTCTTCCACCGAAAAATTGAATTCAAATGACATGCTTTTTCTAGCTAGACACAAGGGGATGAAATGCGATCTTTAGTCATCAAATTTCTTCGGTTGCTGAGGTGATTCCAGTTTTAGGGAGACTTGCACTGCGCAAACTGAACAAAACAACTTCTTAAGGTAAGAGGTGTCTTTGTTTTTTTAAGTAACCTTCCTTGTTGCAACATTTATAGCTCGGTGGCTGTAAGTGGGTGTATTCACTTCAAAGTAACGAACCGACACCCTTTTTTCCGGTTTTCAGAACGTTTGGAAAGTGCGGTGTAGCTCTTTATAGCGTAAACCGGCCGCCAAAAAAGGTAACAAAGCAGATAGATAGAAGAAATCTTGATAGTGCGANCAATGGGTTCAAAAACTTTTAATCAATCGAGTTTCGTTTTTCCCTTTCTTAGACCTGTTCATGCCCAGGTAACTTCGCCATCCTCTCAACGAATATTGGCTTTTGAAAAGCCAATAGCGCTTTGCTCTCTTGTGTCTTCACGCGCTTCTTGCTACTTGTCCTCATTGTGAGTTCTCAATGCCCCCCTCCACAAACCCATCGAATTCGAAACCAAAGTAAAAGCCAGAAAAAGAAGTTTTATCGGCTAAAAGTTGCGAGCAATTCAGTCAGAAATGTAACTACCAGCAATACCATGTCAAGTCCATTCTGGTGTTCAGGATATAGTCAAGAGAATATAAAACGTTCAGTGATAAAGTATAGTCAAGAAGAACCTGCACTTCTGATATGACTTGATATTAAATACATCTACGATAAAGTTCGGTTATAACGCGCGCTCTCATTGGTTGAAAGAGAGTGATTTGTCTGAGTACAAAACACAGAGCGAGACCTGTCACGCCATCAGCCACTTTGTACAAGGTCGGATCATTTCCCAGACTTCTCTCTGGCTTTTTTCTTTAATTGACCATTTGGTCTTACATGACCTCCAAAAGGATTATGAAAACGAGCTCTTGGCTTCAACTGATACAGAACAACCTGTAGGAGCACTAGCTACACGAGAGTAGAAAGTGATATTTCGGAACAAGGAAGCCAGCAACTGAGCAACAGTAGAACCAAATGAAAGTTGTAAACATGACAAGCACCGTAATTAACGAAAGTAATTATAAAGTGATAGAGGCGAATATTAGCAAAGAGAAAACGAAATGCACTGCCTAAGTTCTATTTAGTCAACCAATAGATTATTTGAACCATTCTAGCAAGGATTCTGATTGGCATATTTTAGCTTGAGTTAAGAATTCGCGTAGAAAATATGCTAACGACAAATTTGTTCGTGTTGAAAATAAAATTTGTTTTAAAAATAGGAAGAAATATGTAGGGAATTTGACGGATTCTTTATCATACAACAGTAAAGAAGCCTTGACTGGCTCTGTTCTGTTGTAAAGCACGGAGGAAGCGGTTAGAGCACTCATGAAGTAGGGAAAACTCTCGACTACGTCTCGTATTTTCCCCTACCCTTCTTTCAGGCTCTATCCGCTTCCTGTGTGCTTTACAACAGTACACAGCATAATCAAGACCTCTTCATTTGTTAAATTTTGAGTAGTAAAGGGGCCAATTTTGTTTCGTGTGTCTTTTTTTTGTTTGTTTTTTTTGTTTGTTTATCAGGGACATCACGTTCAAGTTGTTATTACGAAACACCGCCCAAGGTTAATTATCTCAGCCTTGTCTTTTTTAAGCTACATCAATTCTTTCGCGAATTTTCTTGTCAAACAATGTATTGAAAAGCTATGATAACTGTGAGTTCAACCGTGAAAAAAATATAAACAACTTTATTTCAACTCTACAACATGGTACAATTAGAATCACAATCTGCCATACACTCATATAAATTAAAGACGGTAACTACGAAGGGCCCTAACTTAAGAGCTAAGCTGAAGGGGGAGGTTTACTAGCTACCATTAATCATTTATTAGGATCAGAAAAAAAAAAAAGCGCTGATTAGGTAATGTTTGCCCATATTTTTAATTGTTCGCCTGTACCTTAGTTCTACACCCAGTTGAGCACAAACTAAGGTAGTTTCTAACAAAAAGGTATTGTGATTATTTCGGGCATTATTGGCATTGTTACGGCGGAAGTTCCCCAGGGAAAGAATGTATGTTATCTGAGAGGAAGAATAAGGGCAGTCGGCAAACTTTCTCAACTGCGGTGCAGTATGTAACAGTCGGTCTGCCATTTTTAGTAAGAAACATTATCCCCTCAGACTTCTGATCGTTTCCAGTCCCTACATTACTCGTTCCCATGCTATCGAGAAGCGTTGGTTATCGGATTGAAGCATTCGTATTAGAAAGCTTGTGTCTCGTATTACATAAGCTAAAACATAAAGTGAATATTTTAATCAAAGGACTGCTGAGCAGAAACTAAAGGTAGGTTCGGACAAAAAGATATTGTGGTTATTTCGGGCACCATTGGTATTGTTCTGGCAGAAGTTTGAAAGGAAAAAATGCATGGAATCTGAGAGAAAGAATCTAGGAGATCGACAACAGATGTTTCCATGCAGAACGACGCCTTGTAATCGTGTGGCGTAGCTGTAGAAAATTTTTGTACGAGACGTGTTTGAATCAGAGAAAGCAGAGATAAGAGCATCTATGGTCAAAACTACCTCGTCGACTTGATTTCTTCAAGCTAACGCCGAGAAACATCATGGGAAATCTTCTTGGCAATGAAAGAAAGGTTCCTGTAAGTGTTGAATTTATTTTTATGTCAAGCATGCAAAACAAAGAAAAGAAAATCAAGAAGACGTGAGACGAAAGAAATTTCATTTAGTCTGTACTTGAACATATAGCTTTATTTGATCGGTTCACCTGCGTTTATAGAAATGGAATAGAGGTAAATCATTAACTTGGTATAATTCCTGTCCGTTTGATAATTTTTTAGTCCCTGGGTGAGATGCTGAGGTAGCGACACTTATTAGACAACAGGGGGATCAGATTCTGCAATGCAAATGCTGAAAATTGCTGATTGTGTATTGTTTATGATTTGTTTGAAATTCGGCACCAAACAGTTCAGGAACCTTCAGCATTCGATAGAAGAGCTATATTCATTTCCGTGTAGCAACCGACCTGTTGCGGTCGTACCTTATGCGCTTGAATAGGAGTTGTTTGGTTCAGATGGAAATTCTCTCCATATGGAAAACTAATACATTCACATTTAAAACTGATTTGTTTTGTTTAATTTTTTGTCATCTCTTTTTCACATACCCTCCCGGTGATGTAACTCGATCGCTCTCATAAGGTATTTAACGTTTTTCCAGTACCTTCTTATAGTCGTGTGGTCATTCAAAGGGTTGTTTACAAAGCCATTGAATTCGAAATCAAATAGAAAATCTAAAACAAAATATTTCACAGGCTGAAGTTTGTAAGCAACTCAATCAGACGAATAACTAAGATAAATACCATGTCAAGTCCATTCTGGTTCTCCGAATATAGTTTAGCCAAGAACAACTTGCGCTCTTCAGTAAAGTTCGATTTTATTTAACATATTTAGTGAGCCAATTAGGTATGCTCAAATACACCTTGTGTTTTTTTTTGTTTATCATAGACATCACATTGAAGTTTTATAACGAAATAACCCCTAACGCTAAATGACTAAGTTCTGTCTTTTATAAGTTACATCAATTCTATCGCAAATCTTATTGTCTGCCGATAAATTGATAAATAGTGATAAGTATAAGATTTTTCTCTTTAATTACCTTCACAAATGAACCATCCTAGCCAGATTTATTAGATAAAGTAATTGAATTGTTCCCCTATATCTTCACTCTACACTCGGGTGAGCAGGAACTAAAGGTACCTCCTCAGAAAGGTGTTGTGGTTATTTCGGTCGGCATTGACGTCATTCGCTCGAAACAATGCTAAGGACAAAACACATGGAATCTCAGAGAAAAAATGAGGATACTAGACAGCAGAAATATCCACAAAAGAAGAACGCCCTGTAATTGTGCGGCATAACTGTGGACGCATCTTGAGCAAACATCCTTTGAATCAAAGAAAGCAGATATAAAGGCATCTATGGTCAAGACTATCTCAAGATTGCAGCTCAATACTGCCTAACAAGTTAGGGAAAATCAAAATAATGGGATACGAAAGAAATCTCATTTAGTCTGGACTTGAAAATATTCCGCTCTATGTCTGCTTTTATCTTCTTTGATTAAAAAGGGAAATGGTGAGATAACACCTTTGTTTCTTCACCAAGACAACATTTACGAATAGGATGTCCACTCCATTCTGATATCCTGGATACACTTGCTCGCCTAAGACTGTGACGTATTTTGAGCAGTTTCGAGCCCAAATTTGCAGCTAAAGTACACTTTTTCTTGTATGTTCACTACAGACATCACGTTGTAGTTATTAAAGCGAAAAATCCTCCTAAATGACTCTGGTAGATGACGCATTCTTGTATTTTGTATTGCGAATTATCTATTGTCAACAACGGGGGCAACTGAAGTTTCTAGAGAAACCCGGAGATGCTGTGCCAGTTGGGGGTATTACAAAATAAGTTAGTTCTCTCAAATGAGTTGAAAATGTAAATTGGTCACTGTAAAGAGCTTCTAATGCAGACGTATCGAGCGTTAGCCCTTCGTTAAAGCGAAGGAATTTATCACTTTGAAATGAACGTGAGATATTTCCCGTTCCCTCCATGTATTCTGATTTCCATAGGAAACCCTTTTGGTTAGATTGACAATTTAAAGAACTGTTATTGATCGCCTATATCTTGGCTCTACTTTCAGCTAAGTAGAAACTTAGACAAATTTTAGAGAGTTGTCTTTTGGTCATTTCACAAGTCATTGGCATTATTTGGTGGACAGAACAAAGCAAAAAATGTCACCAGTGTGACTCCCTGTAGTTTTGCAGCAGAGCTGTAAGTATATAATTTGGATATATTAACAAAGTTGAAATGGTAAACTGGCCACCGTAACGATTATAAAAACTGACGTTTCGAGCGTTAGCCCTTCGTCGGAGCGAATAGAGGAATTGTAGGTTGTGTGTGCTTTTAAAGGCAGAAAATGGAGTACGTTATTGGTGGGAACATGGCAACGAGAAAAACAAGAATAAATTAGTGGAATGAAAAGCGTTCGTTGATCCCTGTGGGATTTAGACTACCGATTTGAAAGATGAGCTTTTGTTCAAGATTTATACGGCTTTCCGTGCTACCTAAGTGTAAGGAAAGACCGCAGATTGCCAGT